TTGACAGAAGCACTGTTTTTACACAATGCTTACGTAATTTCGACTGATTCTATTTTGTAGGTTTTCTCAGTATACACTTCCTCTGGCTCTTCCAGGACAGTGAATGCATTATGTCCCCTGAGATGCTGGAAGGGTTGCACTGTGAGAAATGATAAACAAAATGATGATTTTGCATTTAAAACAAAGATAAGCTATTAGTTAACGGGAGCACTTCAGAAAACAAAGAGGCTTCTTACTAAATTATAAAAACAAAAGAGAGGACTGTTATGTTTGTGTCTGATAATATTCTGCAGGGTTTAGCATGATAAGTTATTTAGCCGAGGGGATATGCCACCCAGATCCTTACACATTTCATCTTATGATCATGATCTAAACAATAGCCAAACTAAATATAATGGATTTTCTGTGTGAAATAGTCACATTTTCTTCAAAGGCAACTAGATGTGAATGTGATTAATTGAGCGTGGGCAACAGAAAAAGAAAATAAAAGATATGAAAACACAGAAGAGCATTGTGGAACCTGCCTGAATAAATAAAGGTTAAAAAAAGAACAACAGAAAAACAAATATGATATCTAAAGTAAAATTAAATATTAAAAGCTATATAGAAATAACAATAAAGAATTACCTCTGCCCTGCTCTAAATTTCTGTGTGCATAGCACACACAAACTGCAACAATAGCATTAACATTCAAAAGGGCACTGTTGCATCTGTGTGTCTCTCTCATTAGCTATATCTTTTCAAGGAAAAGGGAACTCACATCTGTGGTCAAAGAAAAAGGGAACTCAAGTCTGTACGCTGTATCGTCTGCCCCTCCTCTGGCCTATTCACCAAACAGATCACACACAGGCACACTGGCACACCCAAAGACACATAAATCAACAAATCTATAAACAAACGCACATAATTGTGTGTAGATCCAAACTAAAGTGCTCTCGCTGTAACTCATCGACAGACACTCAATCTAATCTGAAACAAGACAAACTGTGGTGAAATCACGTGATGTCACCTGACGAGGAACTTTTACAAAATGTCATATATTCTCATTCACGTCAAATTTTAAAAAACACTGATAGGTAAGAAGGTGTTGCTTTATTCATATCAAATAATTAGGTCTCTACCTGATTACTGTGGAGCAAAATTCCATGCAATTTAGGCATGAGCCAGTTACCAGTTTCTGGGGTATCCCACGGTATGAAAAAGTCAAGGTTTCAAAACCAAAGTGCAGGAATCCCTCAGGTCAACATGTCCTTGTATAAAAAAAGTCAGCATAGGTCAATGTCTCCAAAACAACCTATGTTTTCAGTTCCCCATTGCAACACACGGAGGTTAACCCTACCTGCAAGCACATAAAACGCAAAACATATACTACAAAAATACACAACAAAATGCAAAACCAAAATTAATACTAACACTAGCTAGCTAAGACTATATAAAGCGCTACTAACACTAAAAAAAATTTACACTAATGATAGCTTTTGTTTCAAACTCAAGTCTCCTGTGTGAAGGTCACTTAATTATCTAACCATCCACCCAAATACCGTGAAACCGTGATATTTTACCTAAGGTGAGAACCAAGGTAGGAGAATGATATACCAGAGCGAAATAGTCCAAGGACAAGAAGTAGGATGGGCACGTTAGGAAACTCACACTGATTTGAAATAAACCTAATTTATGTCTGGAAGAAATAAATGACAGGAAGAGCAGACTGTGTGTGGGATGCATTTGTCTAACCAGAAACTGAAGCTGCCAAAGCAACGCTGCACACACTAAAGGTCAAAGTTTGGCTGTTTCAATGTTTTTAAGGATGTTGCAATGTTATTAATAGCTCGCTTTGGTCAAGTCTAATATTGCTTCTGATTTCTGCCGACTTTCTTTAATTTTGTTAGAGAATTAAGACTTTTACGGAAGTCATTGGTCACTGTGATGAAAGTCTACATTAGACAAGACACATATTTTATGTCCAAGGAAGATAATTTACCTGTTACTATGCCAGGCTTCCTGTACAATACCCTGCGGACTATTGTGTGCAGTGACAGGAGTTTTGTTTTGCTTCAAGGTAATTTGAATAGAAACAAAATAGGCTGATTAGTATAGGCCGATAGTATTCAACAAAGTTGTTTAACGTGAGTGTAATCATGTATTAATAGTGTTATCTAAATTAAGAAGAGAAAAATTTATTTTTGGCTTTAATTTTTGCCAGAACTAATCAGCCATGCTGGATCAACTCAAAATAAGTGTTCCTCATGTGGGAATGTTCTCGCAACTGAAAGTAAATGCCAAACGTCTCCATCTAATCCTGGCCTGTTTTGCACTTCCATCACAGAGGTTTATTTTGGCTCACTGTGTTGTTTCTTGAAGTTTAATGGGACTAGGCTGGGTGATATAAGTCCAGGAAATTGTTTAGTAATTGGCAGATTCTTGAGAGCTGGTTAACTCATGATAGAAGTAGTTTCAGGAAACTGGGATGTCTTTCGCTGAAATGTTTATTGAAGCTCGATCGAGGAGAATAGAGATGAGCAGCACAAGTGAGTCACTCTGAACCGCCACCCAATTCTGAAGGTTACTTCCTGGAAGGGCGTCTTTAACCCTGTGACATTCACTACATGTCCAAATTAGGTTGTTCTTCACTCAGCTATACATGTGTGGAGATTATATTTTGTACTGGATCCTAAACAAGAAAATATGCTTACTAACATAAGTTCTGTTGTATGTCACTCAGGTCAAGTGCAATATATTCTAAAGGGAGAAAACAGGGTTGGCAGCATTTTCAAACTTCTCTGTTTTCGGTCTTTGAATTTTGCCGTTTTAGTCTGGACGGGAAGTGTCAACCTAGCAAATGGTCTGAATTTTAAAACGAAAACGTAGCAGCCAATCTCCTACGACCTTGTTCCTGTTGGGAGACGGAGACAGCCCGCCTTATCAGTACAGCTGCACGGACCAGTCATCCCGAGGAAACAGAGTTTAACTATTGCTCCAAAAGAGACAAGGCAAGTTTGCAAATGCCCCTGGGAAACAGTGTGTCATATTACCTTTAGCTTAAAGGAGAAAGAATCCTTTAAAAGGGGAATATTAATTTACTACTACTATTTACTTTACTTGTTTTTTTATGAGAGAGTAGCTTTTCACATGTTTCAGACAAGGATGGTAAATTGACAGTACTTTACATGTCAGATTCACACACACAATCTTACACTGATTGCAGTGGATGCAAAGCAAGGTGTCAACTGCTTATCAGAAAGGAACTAACATTCACGCACCGAAGGCAATCAGGAGCAATTTGAGATCAGTATTTTTCCCAAGGACACTTCAACACGCTGAGGATCATATCATCAGATCAGTGTCTTTCTTAATACCGTCAGCTTTACAGTATGTTACAGCTGTCTACTATGTACTGTAGTTTGAGTACACAAACAAGGTTTGTGTAATATTTACTTTTGGTTTGGCTGAGATATCATTAAAGCTTTAATTCAGGTTTTGTTCCATGATTGAGTTATTTTCAATCAAGGCTGACCGACTGCAGATGTGGTCAAACCAGTTTCTGTACATTCTTGTGGGGTTATTGTACATCTCATTTGCCAGTCAAATATTTTTGGTTAGGTTTATGACATGCTACCTTTTTAGTCTAAACATATCCAACACCCACACAAAAGTTAGCTCTGATCAAATTAGTTCTTTGAGAGTCAAAATACAATGCAACACAAACCACAATAATGTCAGCCAAAAAGAAAATGTGCTGCATAATATGGAATATGTGTTGCATCCAAAATCCCAAGCAGACTTTGTGTTTTTTTTTAGTTTTGACAGGAATCCACGTAAGTGAGCAGATACCACCGTCCTGTTCTTCAGTAGTAATACGTCCAGGACTGAAGTCCATATCCCTCTCAAGTAGTATATCCCCTAGCACTGCTCTCAATGGATGGAGTAAGGGGTTACTATAATATAGCACTATATGTAAATATGTTTAATTACCTTGTCATAAGGCACCCGTGTTTATTTGGCACTTTCATGTTACTACATGCCAAGTCAAATATGTCTCAGCTTTTGGAAAAATCCATTTCCTATTCGTTTTTATGACATGAATGGTGACATTAACACTCTTTACAAGTTAAAACGGGTATTTACAGTACATTACCTATATGCAGCATAGTTTCAGCTTAAAGTAAGGGGAAATAATAACTTGGCCCAGATGTGCTTTGGAATGGCACACCACAAGTCAATAGCAATAGTAAAAAAAATTCCCTACTGGCCACATTTATACTGTGTGTGTGTGTGTCACCCTTCCTCTGTGGTCTTTGTGTCATGCAAAAATTACCTTGAACAGTGATCCACTTTTTTAACTTCTTTAATAAGCTCAGAAAAAAAGCTTCTCTGGTGACATCAACATCCACACTAAAACGGCCCAGGCAAAGACAATCAGCCTTTCATTGTGAAACACTACTCGATGCAGTTAAAAAGTGACTTTTACACAAAACATGCAGCCCCTCTCACCCACAATTTGATATAACCACTATATAAAACACAAAATATGGGTGTTAACATAACTTTAAAGTCTGACATCCAACTTGTATTACATTTCTCCATCACATAGTTCCATATCCCCACCAAAAGGCAGGCAAACAAACACAATAAAGCAAAATAAAAATTGTAAATTCACATTTTGCCAGGCTAAATAAATAAGTTAAAAAACTAAAAACCCCAAAACTGTAATTGGCATTCATTCGTATTTAGCCATTTACCTGTAAGCAGATCCGTGCTGTATTTATCACCATACCTGCTCTGCTCATAACTAAGTTACAGAAGCCGTATGTTTCTGCACATTTGTCTACGTTATTTAGAAGTTATTATGTGAAATGTATTGTTTCAGTGTGGGGTTATCAGTGCTGTCACAACCTGGCCGCGGCTGTGAGATAAAAGATATAAACTCCACATAACAACCTGTGGCACTAACTAACTGAAAAACCCAAAGTTGGTAACGGCTGACTGGCAGTTTTACTCACCGCCTCCTAAGCCCAGCAGTCGGCAGATATCTCGGGTGAACTTCATCAGGGTTTTCCGTCTAGCATTATCGGCCCACGCACTAAATTAAATTTAAACTTTCACACCGTACAAGACGACAAGTTTTCAATCTTCATCTACCGCTGACACCTCACCGGTGAGGCTACCGACCGGTTCATGTGAAATTCCGACCGCTGGTTATTCTCTCCGCCGCCGTCAGCTCACCGCTGTGGGTCACAACTGATGCGACATCCGGTAGTCACTTTCAACAATAAAACAATGACAGGCAGAATTTGAAGATGACTTCCGGTTTCTACCATCAAAGTAAAATCACAAAATGTTTGAAATAAGCCTTTTCAGCTCCGTGGAATAATATTAAATGATTTAGGATTCAGAGTAAATGCAAGTAACATAATCTATCTTTTTTAAAGTTAAAAACTCTTGTTCTACTGTGCGATTTAATTGATTAATTAATTAGTCCATTAGCCCACAGTTTTATTTCCTTTATTATTAATAATAATAATGATCTTTATTTGCAGAGCACTTTTCAAAAACGAGTTACAAAGTGTAAAGACAATAATACAAAAACAATACATGATAAAAGCAAGAAAACGCTGAAAAGACTAAAATACATGTTTAAGATAATATAAAATAAGTAAAGTAGAATAAAATAAAGGGATAAAATAAAGTCAAATAAGATCGGGAAAGGCTCTCCTATAAAAGCATGTTTTAAGAAGGGACTTAAAAGAGTTCACTGACTCAGCCGACCTGATTTCCTCGGGCAGGCTGTTCCAGAGCCTCGGGGCCCTGACAGCAAACGCTCTGTCCACTTTAGTTTTCAGTCGAGACTCTGGAACAGACAACAGACCTCTGCCCAAGGATCTCAAGGTACGTGCTGGTGTGTATGGGACTAAAAGTTCAGAAATATAACAAGGCAAGAGGCCATGAAGAGCTTTAAAAGTGATCAATAGAATTTTAAAGTCCATTCTAAAGCAAACTGTGAGCCAGTGTAATGAAGCTAAAACAGAGGTAATGTGGTCATATTTCTTTGTTGTGGTATTACATTTGGCACAACTTATTACTATCCTTTACCTTCATGTTTACATTTGTAGGCCATTTCATTTTATTTGACAAATTTTCACTTTATGTGATCTTTAGCAACACTTTTATAGTTTACTATAAAACCTAGTAAATGACCTAATATGTAGGCTAACTAGAAATCCTTTGGAAGATACAGATTTAAACTTGTTTGTTTTTTAAAATCCTTCTGCACCTATAAAGCACTCAGTGGTCAGGCACAATCATATCTTAAAGAGCTTATAGTGAGCTTATAGTGCATTAACATGCTCCTAAAACACTGTACGTCCAGAATCCAGGGTTTCTTATGGTTCTTAGAGCCAGAGCCCTCAGCTGTCAAGCTACTCTCCTGTTGAATCAGGTCCCACTTTGCTGTGGGCGCCAAACACCACCTCCACATAAGAGTAGGCTTAAGACTTTCCTCTTTGATAAAGCTTATAGTTAGGGTCAGGTGAGCCCTGAACCATCCCTGTCCCCATCCTGTTATAGGCCTAGACTGTGGGGAGACTCCCATGATGCACTTAGCTCCTCCTCTCCCTCTGTATAAATTCTTTTCTAATTAAAGTATGTAACAAACTCGACTTCTTCTTCTCCCGTAGTTTTGTGCTTTCTGGACTCTCCTCATGTCTGCAGGTGTTTCTGCCTCTAGAGCTATAGAGCCTGCAGGATCAGTGGTTGCAGCCCACCTACTGGCCCCATGTTCCTGCTCGAAACCCGCTGAAGTGCCACATCACACATGAGTCTCCCTGATTCCAGGGTTACATGCAATGTGTTTGGAATTCCCATTACAGCCAAATGCAAACATGCTAATGTGTCTACAAGCAAGCACACAACAACAAATAGAAATCCAAACTGCTTAAACTTGACATAACTGTTTAAGAACTTTGTCTCCATTTTCTCATAAGGGACAAATCTACCAGTCTAGCCAAGAACGGAGAAATATCCTGAGAACAGCAGCCTGTAAGCCATCTGGTATTTCCTGGCAAGATGACCTACTTAACAACTTACTGGAGAGCAGTGGTCTCTGATCTGGAATGAATATGTATGGGTTTAGTAAGACCAACATGAATTGCAGGAAACTGCACCGGGAATTAGGAACAGACTGCACTTTTGTCCACTGGGTGGTAATACTGTACCCCCTGTCACTGTAAAGTGAGGAGGTTCCACATAGAGGCCACCTTCACAAGTGATGTTATTCACATTCGAATACTCCTATTAGGCTATATTTTGATAAAGTGTTGCAGTTTTGTTTTATTTGTGTGGCCCCGTTTTTCTTTTTATCCTATAAATATGTAACAACCCCAGAGAACACAAGACTCCAAATAAATTTACATACTTTCATATCATTACACCCAGACTATATCAGGAGGTGCTGTGTATGTGTGGGGATGATGGAGTATGCAAACCTGGTACCTGCACATCTTGTTCTTTCCAGACAACAGCATAATCTAGTTTAGTGCAAGTTAAACAACTGGTGCACTGGAAAATCAACAGCTATATGGTGAATGCATCTGTGTTCAGTGTAGTTTTAGATGTAAAATTAACTAAACCTGTGTTACGGATCCTTCCCCTTACTGCTTCCTTCTCCTGCAGGAGGCTGCAGGCAGGGAGTGCGATTGGGCTGGGCAATCACCCGTGCAGCTCTACCTTCAGACCTTATTTAGCCAGGACTGATCAGTCTTTTGTCTCTCTCCACCTAGGCTGACGTCCTACCAGGTTTGTCTTGTGTTTCTTCTTTGGTTAATCCTGACAACACACACATACACATCTAACTCATCCATTCACTGCTGACACAACTGATAGTCATACTTTGCCACACCACATATTATTGGTGATAATTTGATCCTTCTTTTACTTTTATAATAAATCATACCATTGGCTTGCAAACCTGTTGTGCCTCACCTCCTTTTTGTCACGGGCTAAGAGTTGGCTTGTGACACCTGTGTAATATTAAGTTGCACATTATGCACTCCTGGGTTTCAGCACATGTCAGATTTCAAATATAATGCATCTATAAGACTTAATTTTGCCACAAGTGAGACCATTTTAATGCCATAGATCTCTTTAATGTTTAATGTTTTAAAATGCAGCAAATGCACTATTAACTTCACTGTACTAAATGCTCCAGTGGAGGTATAGTAGTCTGTTTTGCAGTTGTCATTGTGCTATCAGTATAGAAATGCAGAATAGTTGCTGTCAGATGCAGGTGGGAGTGACATCAACAGCATATAAAATATATCAAGACAGGATTCTCAGTACATCCTGACAAAGGCTTCCATGAATTCCTCAAAAACTATTTATTCTATTTTACCTTTTATTTACCAGGAAGTCTCATTGAGATCAAAAATCTCTTTTACAAGAGAGGCCTGGCCAAGGTAGCAGCCATACAGAAACACAATATATTAAAATGCTACATACAATCATGACAAAATTCACAACAAGTTTGAGTTGTTTGTAGATTTCAGAACATGGGTCAATGTATTTACTGCTGAAAGTCAACAGGCTTTCAGTAGTTTTATTGTATTGATTTCTGTGTCTGCTCAGGAAATAAAATCACAGACAGGCTAATGGATCAACATTATTGGGATGAAGATGGAGATTAAAAAAAAAAAAAAGACATTTTCCTGCAATCTGCTGGCTGGCACACGCATCCGTCCAATCCCTCTCACTGTAATACGGATAGACAGTCGGCTGAACCAATCAGAAATCGCTGTCTCCTGAATCTGGACCAATCATATGTCGAGTTGGCTTAATTGGGCGAGGACATTGCGGAAGCTACGGGCTGGCTCAGCAGCCATTGATGCGCCTTATTTGTAAGGGGACAAATCGGGATTAATTCTTCCATATCTGCGTTTTTCTGCGGACTGAAGCCATGGTGTCTCACTCTCTCGCCCTGCCGATGATCTGCTTCACCACGCTATGGGCGCTTGTGGGGGTCGTGGCTCCATTTTTAGTGCCCAAAGGACCCAACCGGGGGTAGGTACTAATCGAGCTGCCGTTAATTGGCTGCAATTTACGGCGATTATGTAGCGTTTCTTTTAAATTTTATACAATAACATTCATATTCAGCTATAAGGCTATTTTTTATCATTCAAAGTCAATATGTACTCCGTGCTCAGCTGCATCGTATCTGCACAAATAGCCTACATGAGCGTGCTCCTGTTGATGTGATGAGGCCCTGCGCGTCATCTTGCGTCCATCCCAAAATCCATTTCTACCATCCATCCATCACTACACGGCAATAAGGTTAAAGGGTGAATTCAATAACAGATAAGCATGCAAAGCTCATTTGGGTGAATTATTTGAAGATAGGCTATTAGATAGTGTTAGGTTTTAATGTTAAAACAAGTCTTGTTCTGGGAAACGGCATGCTGAAGCCTTTAAGTTACAGTGGTTCACATTCCGTGCAATCAGACTGCAAATAAAATTGAATTAGTTTAGTATTTTATCAGGGGGGAAAAAACCTTTTACTAAAGATAGTTGTGGGAAATGTGTATAGAATATCTCACAGTATGCACAATTGAATATTGGGACATTGATAGGTATTTAAAGATCCAGAAACTATTTACAGAAAACACCTGAGAAATCAAGGTACCTCATTCACGCAACAGTTTAAAACGTGATATTTCTTTAACATTGCAACAGCACAATACAACCGGAGATATTAAAGAGAGACCATTCATCCATTCCATGCATTGCTACTTTAAATTAGGTGTGGGATAGAGACTAAACTAATACAACAATAATTATCACAGCACTATTTATTAAAGTGTTCACAATCGACAAGGTAAAGTAGCTGTTTACATCCTACTGACCTAAATGTTTTAGAACAAAAATCTGTTTCGTGTTGATCTACTTTATCCATTTAGTCCTAATAACTGAGCACTTATTGCTTAAATATCATCAATGTTATTGTTACATGGACATTAACATTAATATTGGACAAACTCCCAGTCCCTGTGTTTATAGTGAGTGGACAGAGCTGCATTAATGTAACTCCCTCTGTTTTCTTTGACAGTGTGATTGTCACCAGTCTCATCCTCACAGCGGTCTGCTGTTACTTATTGTAAGTATAAACTCTTCTTTGCTTTGAAGCTGCTGTCATTTTGCATGTTGATGTGACTGATGTATTGACCTGGTGCTCAGATTACACGTGCATAAT